TTGCATTTAAAGTAATTATTAAAATCAGTTTGTAAAGGATAAAGATAGGGTCTAGTCTACCTATACAGATTCTCCAAGAATGAGATGACCATGCAATCTTCCAGGAATGAAATAAAATGTTTTTCTGGACATGTCTTTCCAATGCAAGCCCCAAAGGAAAGAGCAAGTAAATCTGTGCCACCTTAGTGGAAGGAGACAAGAATGCCAAGACTCAGGATAACTCCCTGCTGCTCATCAGGTGTTTGAACTAAACATTTGCAAAGGAAGTTTTGACTTTCATTACTAAAAATAAACTCCAGCTTGTACGTGAGGCTTATTTTGTAGTCTTTCATAATGTCTTTTCTGCACTATTTTCTGGGAATTTTACGAGCTAACAACCTTTAAGGAGGTTTTGTCAAACTCTAAGGAAATAAAGGCACAGATCAGAAATTCCACAACCCCACAACCTTCTGAAGTGGGACTTTAAGCAGGGCTTATGCTCACTTTCTTTATTAGTGGAAATTGAAAACAAGTCACTTTTTTGCTCATCTAACTTGAATTGAAATATGGCTCTCCTATTCTAAAACAAAAATAGCCTCACTCAAGTATCAATTACTAAGTATCACATCACTGAAGGCAAGGGAGTCCACCCCAGTGTCTCTATAGAAGTGGCATGCGGAGAAGGTCAAAAATACCTTTGAAAAAGCTTCCCATACGCACCCCCTGTCCCCTGAAATTAAAAACAATAAATTCAGGAGTCCAGCTGCCAGCATAAGGCACCCTAAATCAGCAAACCAAATTCGCTCTCTCCCCTCTGCCTTCATGCCCCGCTAGGCAGTACCAGCTTCGCTGTGCTGCAGCCTTTCACCTCAAATGAATTTCTTTCAGTTCTTTCAGTGCCGTCTTTTACAGTCTGGCTTGAAAGCGCAACCTTCACTACCCTGCCTCTGTTTACAAGATCTGAAGTATGTCTTCAGACCTAAAAAAGAAAATTAAATTAATCTGCACAAGTTACCCTCAGACCTGCTTGAGTGAGTGAGTTCGCATCCAAGCGCTATACAGCTATAGTAATGCAAACAGCACATGAAATGCCTACGTGTGGCTAGCACAGGCCTGGTGTGAGCCCTACCGACGTGCTGCCCACAGGAGCTCAAAAGCAATGATTCCCACAGACTTTTCGGTTTGGTTTGGGGTTTTTTACTATTTGTAATATACTTGAGTCCTCATTGCTCCTTAGGGCCTGACTCGGTACCAACAACACTGACAGAGAAGACCATACTTAGAGGTACTTACCATCTTTGGGAGGAAAATAACCAGGCAAAACCAGAAGTGCTGGTGCTAGCCAGGAGGTGGCAGAGGAGCGAGGCCACCTCGTACAGCGGTTTCTGCATTGATTTGGCAAAACCACAAATACAAACCAAGGAAGGACAACAAAACCCAGCCCCACTCTCCATCTTCAGGAATAAGAGGATGAAACCCTTAATCATATTCCTGCTTGTATTTATACTAATTGCTCATCTTCCTGAGATCTGACTTTATGAAATTATGCATGCACACCAAGCAGATGAGTTTCCATAGAAACTCAGGAACTGAACTTTTCATTAGAAAAAGCTTTTTTTAAAAAAAAAAAAATCTTCCAGATAAAAATGCAAATTGCCTGTCAGTGGGTGGCTTTCTGAATTTATATATAATTTTTTTCTTTTGCACTGTAGGCAGATTCCAGCTGGACCTACATAGCAACAACATGCAGGCATTGTTTATAGCAAGCCAGACTCCATGGGGAAATAAGAAATTCAGTAGCAAGGAGAAGCTCTCAAGTGCAAATACCTCAGGGAAACAAAAAACTGAAGTGCTCAGTGCTGCGTCTTTGTGAGGCTTGGGGATTGTGCAGCCTCCAGCTCTCACAACATGCTTGTGGTTTGCAAGGAGCAGGGTGGGGAGGAGAGGAGAGAGGAAACCCAAAGCAAGAAGCTCTCCTGCACACAGAATTAATGATGTTCAACTTGTCCTTTCAACATCCAGCAGCATATTTCTGCCGGTTCAGTTAACCTCACTGGAGAGGCCGACACCATCTGTCGCAGCTCACTCTGGGTGAAGGAGTAGGTCTCGGTGCTGGGGTTTGGGAACATTTGCAGGCCTGGGTTGGCCACACCCCGACCTCCGCTTGGGCTGAGGCCTGAAGCACAGCGTCTTTTGCCCCCACCACATGGAAATCCAGGCGCATGAGCAAGAAGGGGACATGGGGCTGTTCCTGGTCAGAACAAGAGGGAAGCAAGACGGTGGGCATGCCTGGGAGGGGCTGTGGACCTGGGCAGCCTTTGACACTAACAGTCACGCATATAAGCAAGGAGGAGGGGAGAAACCTTCACCTCCTTTAGCAAATGTTTCTTCCTGTGTTTCTCCCCAAAAACATACAGCAGTTTTTCACTCATGCAGTATACTGCAGCATCAACAGGAGGCTTTCCCCTGGCTTTGGGGAGCCTGGGATCACCCTTTCTGAGGGTTCACAGATGTTTTTTCAGCTAAACTGGTATGCTTGAAAGCACTGAATACCGACGAGCAAATGTTCACCTGTGCTGCACTTACTGGTGGGCATCAGCTTCAGCATCTTCCCCAGGTGAACACAGTACCTGGGCTTTGCGTACAGCCTCCTCCCAGTGCTGCAAAGCAGCTGCAGGGACCTCAAGCACAGGCAAAATAAATGCAGCGGCTCCACACTGGGGAGCAACAAAGGTGCTGGGGCAGACAAGGCAGCTGTGCTGCACGAGCGGTTTACGATGAGGTGGCATGCCAGCCCCTGGTCCTTGACCAACAAAGGTGCTGGGGCAGACAAGGCAGCTGTGCTGCACGAGCGGTTTACGATGAGGTGGATTTCACTGCAGCATTGTTGAGAAGCGCGAGATGTCAGCCGGGGAGGGAATTCCCCTCCTCGTTGGAGGGGGATGACAGGCAGCAGCTGCTTGGGCTCGCTGGCCCCTGTGCCTCCAGGGCCAGCAGCCCTCCAGGAGCATCGAGAGCCTTGATGCCGCTTAGTGTCAGGGTGAGGACGGTGATGGGTCCCTGGCCACCAGAGAGCACAATCGGCTCTGCTCAGTCAGCGCAACAGGAAGAGTTTTTGGGAAGAGTGGTTTTGTGGTTGAGTACAAACTTAAGCTGAGATAGCTCCCGTCTATTCTTGGCTCAGCAGCAGATTTGCTATGGCCACACTACTTGCCCTTTCTGTGTCTCATTATCCCTGACAAGCAGGTGACTCAAATTATAATTGCACAAATTCCTTCCAGTCTGTCATTACATGCCTGCGGTCATCTCCGGGCAGCTACCTCCAGAGGAACCAGCCTCTCCCATCGGGGTACCTCTGTGCCACCTGTGCCTGCTCGCAAGGGGACGGTAGGATTAGGCCCCATTGCCTCGCCATTTTCCAACAGAGAAAGAAACCTGAAGAAAAAACATCCCCACTGCATCTTTAGATGATCAGATTTGATACTGAGTGGATTATTCAGGTCAAGGTTATGGGCAAGAAAGAGGCAGTGAAACTTTTCACAGTACCGCCGATACTTGATTAAATGGGTGTTTCTTAATTTTTCTCTCAGGCAAAGTAGTGTGTTTCTGTAGGTATTAGTACTATCACTGGCTATAGGGTCTTAGTCATGCTGATGCACCCTGTGTCTAAAAGCTGTTTTGGTAAAGCAAACAAAACAAGACAAAGGAAAAATCTTTCCTACTTCCAAAAGCATCACCATTCTTTCATCAGAAATTTACTTGGGTTCTAGTTGTGAGAGATTTCAGGTTTCTTACGTCTTTTCATATCAACTAAAGGCAGTTAGACACATTAAAGATGAAGCTAATGCTTTTCTTTTTACATACGCATCCACATACTACATAGTCCCAGGAAAAGCATGAAGTCAGGCTGTCATCTCACTTTCCAACATTTCTGCGGGTGAGTGCAGGCAGAGGCCATGCAGAGCTTGACGGGCAACATGAAAGCGTTGGCTGCTTCTTCCACAGGCCACACCTGGATGAAACTGGTGGGAGGTTCATCCTGGTGTGTGCACCTTCAGGAGGAAGCAGAAAAATGCCACTAATGTGTTGTGGCCTGCAAAGCCCACGTGACCATCTGGGCTCGCTGTGGTTGACGGCTGTATAATTAAAAGGGAGTCTGGCTCATTAGATGCTTTGTGGGTTCAGACGCATCCATGCAAGCCCTATAGGAAAACATGTTCTTCCTACCACTTCTTTCATCCTCCCCCTCCTGTTCCTTCCAGATGGTTACACCCACTTGTGTCTTTTCTTACCCTAAGGACAGCTTTTTAAACAAGGTTCTTCCATCCTTCTCCTCCCCCACACTGCTTTAGGATCTACATTGGAGTGCAAATAGCAGGAGGACAGAGGGCCCCATGCTGTTACATACAGCCTGCCCCTAGAAGGCTGGAAGGGGCCCACGTCCCTCTAGCCCCATTTGTCGAGAGGAAAAGTCTTTCTGTATGGTCAAGATGTAGGAGCTGAGAGACTTTACCTCAGCCTCAGCTGGATGTTCCAGATGTGCAAGAGTTATTTAGATACTTGGTGTAATTGAACCTGTGTATATTTTCCTCATTAATGCGCTCGCCCATTTCTTCCATTCTCAGCGTTATCTTTCTAGGATAAGATATCTCTATCTTATCCTAGACGCCAGTGTAACCTACTCAAAGAGAGAAGGATGCTTAAAGGGCCTGTAGCCTTTCTCTATATAGCACCAATATACGCTATCCCAGTAACGCACAGCAGGAGCACTTGCAGAGCTGAATCAGTCTCCACTTAAAAAAAATTATTTTCACAATTGTTTTTTTAAATTACACATCACAATCATAAAAAGCAGAGCTTAACAGCTGATTAATACTCCCCTCCAGAAATAGGTGGCGATCCCCCCGATAGGACTCCTGTGCCTGCACTCATACATCTGCCCAGCTTGCTGAGAGCTTGGGGTGCTCCATTTCATCCTGTTTTGTGCCGTTGTTAACTGCTCATCACTTGTTTGTTGACAGGGCCTGGTGCTGAGCAGACTTGGGCGAAGGGACCTGGCCCAGAAAGTCCTCAGAGATGCCATCCGGATCCAGACCACCAGTCACAGGGCCTGGAACAGCTTGGGAGAGGTCTTGCAAGCTCAGGGGAAAAACGAAGCAGCCATCGAATGCTTCCTCACCGCTCTGGACCTCGAATCCAGCAGTCCTGTCATCCCATTCACTGTCATACCCAGGGAGCTCTGAAGCTTTGCCCTGCAGCTAAGCACCTTCATTCCCTGGACAGACACCAAAACCAAACAAATAAACAAAGAAAAAGCCCAACAGAAAAGTGCCATTATAACCTGGAGCGGGGCAAAATAATTCCAGGATGGGGCTCAGGTCTACACACTTAGCTGAGACAAGCCTAACTGTAGAAGAATTTGCAACAGGCAGAAATAGAGAATGCCTTTTTCTTCACATGCTTCGTGCCTGGCTCACCTCCTGTTCAAGTTAATAGCAAGGCTTATTTCAAAGTGTTGGTTCAAGGTCACTGTCCATAGAGTAGAACATGCTAGGGTACAGCTGTTCTAAGCACCTGCACCTTTCAATTTTCATTAAAGATAGAATCCCCAAGCCCTGAATTAAAGCCCAGACCTGCTCTAAACAGGAGTAAATGCACCAACTAACTTGACCAAGTTGGGCTTAAGCATGTGGCTGTCTCCACACAGATCTGACAGGATAGGAATGACAATTAAACCATATAGATATGCAGTACATGCCATTTCCAAAATTATTTTGATAATCCTTTTTCCTGCCTTGCTCTTAAATACTGCATATGCTCACTATATTTACTGTGGCGTTTGCCTAGACCAATTTAAATTAAAAATACCTTTTTTTTTAAAAGCTGCTATTGCAGTATGATTCACAAAAGCAGAAAGACCAAAGACCAAATCAGTTCACATTTGAACTAGTATTAAAAACATATATGTATCTCCAATTACATATTTATTGAAAGGGCTTACATGAAGTACACGATTATAAACTCTGAGCTTCATTCTTATAAATCACCTATTGCATCACTTTTAGTGAGGAATATAGTGATTACCAGTACATAGTGACTGAACTGTGTACTTTACTGCATTACCATTCCTGGCACAAAACGCTTTCATATCCATCTTTTCATGATATAAAAGATGGCAGCAGTCTTTTAAGGGAAAGTATGCTGAAGGCAGTATGTGTATATATGAATTACTTCTTTCTTAGAACCAAATCTTTGGATTGTCTATAGAAATTTCACATTAGAGGTACAGAGTTGAGCCTTCAGCGGAGCAGGATCATCTTGCGTATCGTATCAGATGTAAGAGTGATCTCCAGAGCCATCTGAAGAGCTCCTAATCCACGCAGCCTCCCCATGGCTGGCATGGCCGGGGCAGGGGACGCAGCTGGCATACCCCCTGCTAACCTGCTCCTTAGCTGTGCCTGACCTCCCTGGGCCTCGGCAGCGAGGTAGAGCTGTACCGTGCTGTCACACGACACACGAGAGCCAGCCCCGTCCAGACCAGTCCCAAGATGAAGATGATGCAGAAATGAGCTGCGGGCACTTTTCTACACAAAAGGTTGGGGCTCTGTGCCCTTTTCAGTCCAAAGAAGATTTGTGCTATTTCATAAGTGGGTTTGCACTAAAACACAGTTTGTACTACAATTCTGCCCAGTATTGTGATCCGCAACTAGTTCATTCTGGAAATAATAATATCCTCAGGCAATAAATGAGTAGGGGTTATTTCTGAAAGAGCCTGAGGCTCTGGCAGCAGACTTGAAGTCAGCATTGTTTACAATTATTTGGAAATCTGCAGGCTCATGGAGAGGTGGGCTCCTCGCGCTGCTCCCAGACCACACCATTACAGAGCTCCTGCCCCCAGCCTCCCCTCGAGGTGCCTGCGCCAAGGCAAGTACACTGCCCTCAGGTTTCTCTCAGCAGCCTGTTTCACTCGCAGGCCAATTTTTTTTTTTTTTTTTCCATTAAATGTTGCTGGTGCAATAGCCCAGCTTAGTCCTCTGTTCACCGAGGGATCTGGAGTGAAAGCAGCCCAGCCATGAAGGGTGCTCGGCCCATGAGGTCTCTGGCTTTCCAGTGCCACACGGGCACCAAACCGGGCTTTTTAGGCCAGAGGCAGGTTTCCAAGGAGACAGTGTTACCCAGCTGCATTTCTCGTTTGCAATAGCACCAGCAGCAGAGGAAGGAGTAGGTGTTAAAGTACCAGAACTAAATGAGTTTCATGAAGACAGAAAGATGCAGCAGAGACCCATTTTGCTGTGATGGATGCTATGAAGTCGGCTTGCTCTGCACTGCAGGTGGGAAAGGGGGAAGGGGAGGGGGAGAGATGATGTTGTTGACATAATGTGTAAATTGTTACCCAGGTGTTTTAAACCCAGTTCCACAGTCAGATGCAATCTGACAGTAGACTTAAGTAGAGAGATATATATAGATAGATATTATATTCTGGTATTTGTTCTGCTCCACAGTTCCCAGGGTGGGAGTGAGCCTTCTGTATAAGACACAAAAAAAGAGTCAGTGTGGTCCGACATCACCGCTTTCTTCTGCAACGTGTATCTGTAAAGCGCTGCCATAGCAACTTCTGTGTACCAGACAGCTGTTTGAGTACAAGCTATGCATCCACCTCTGTGACAGAGGAACCGCTTTAAAAGGTCTGTAACGTAGCTGGTTTGTGACCTGGCAGGAGGGTGCCTGTTTCCCAGCAGCAGCTGAGAAGCAAACACTCACAGACCCATTTACTTCTGCATGCATAGCTTGCAAACAGCCACCAGCCCATCACATTTGTTGCCATCAGGCGAACTTCATCTCAGTGAAGAGATGATGACTGCCACAGCAGTCAACTTCCTAGGAGAGGAGGTGCAAACGTGCACAAGTACTTCGAGTGTATCAACCAGTCGGATGTTGCCAGGGTGGCCCCGTATTTGTCATGTGCATTAAGGAGTATTACTGGCATAGGAATTACAGTCCTAAGAGTGTCTGCTTCAGGTGTGGCAAGGAAGACGTACACAAGTAAATGCCATCAGCATCAATAGGAATTACACGGGTAAGGTACGCACTACCAGCACGGCACACCGCAGCCCCTACATCAGTTGCAGACAAAGTACTTTGCATGGAAACTGGACTCAATCCTGAGAGTTGCTGCGTGCTTCGCAGAGGATATGAAGAACCCGTTGGCTGGAGGGGTGTTATATTGACCTGAAATGCTCTCTACAGTGCAGGAACGAGGGTGGTGGTTTTAGACTTGCAAGTATTCTGGGGGTAAATCCTCTAGCTAAATTTCTTATTAGTGCTCACCAAAACAGAAGCCTTCCTAAGCTTACATGCTACCTCTGTTCTTCAGCATGGATTTTGTTCATAAGTCCAGGTACAGAAAAACAAAGACAGCTACTTCAGACAAGCCTATGTATTGTAGTATTTATTTAGATAGCAACGTTGATAAATCTAATAGACCTACTTCCCTGAGCTCAGTAAGTAATACTTTTTCTATAGCAGGGAGCCTGGCATGGTTAATGCTCAGGGTTTGAGACTAAGAACATAAGATTTACATCCCATCCTTCATATGATTATTACAGATGATCATAAGTAACAGAAGTTTGGGGAACAATAAGTGAAATACCAATTCTGTGAGTTTTAGCACTGACTTGAGTCCAACAGAGTTTTCTCATTTAGAAAAAGGAGAAGAAAAAAGGCATCGTTGCCTAAAGGATCCAGGTGTACCCAGGTTCCTCTTGTTCCACCACAAGGTTATTTTCCTTTGCGTTGGCAAGGAGCATACAAAGAAAAATAATTAGATCCTATTTTTCTGTTGCGCAGTAAAGGAATAGTATTTGCCCTTGCGTTGACCAACAAGAAGGTTTGTATATTGTAACAACGACTCTGCCTCCAGGATAACAGAAGGAGAAGCCCAGCAGGCCAGGGAACAACCCCCCAGTCCCTGCCCTACCCTGTGTAAACTGTCATTAGCTCCACTGGAGTTGTTGGTATTTATGAGCATTTCCTCCAGCTGAGGGTCTGCCCACCAGTGCACTCTTTCTGTACGGGGAGTACAACGGAGCTGCCATATTCCTGCGCTGCACAAGTACCCCAGTCTGTTTCTATTGGTAACAGTTCATGCTACTGATTATCACAATGCTTCAGAAGTGCTAATTATCTTTTCTTGGTAATGACTAATAAATCCAAATGGAGAACAGTCCTGGAGGGTGTTTACTTTAAAATTCACTGGCTGGGTACCAAAGTAGGCACAGCACTGACTGCTGCAATTTGAATTACAGTTATTTTATCCAAAAAATGTTCCATTTTCGGAGAGTCTTGGTGAAGACAGGGTTTGGCTAGTTTATATTTCGTTTTAATGACAGCAGAGTGGGAAACAATCCTTTTTAGTGAAAAGACATCACTGCCACGATCTTTTTTCAGCCAAACCAACAGAGATTTGATAGTTGCAATTGGGCCTGGGAGAAGAAGGCTTCCCAGAGCGACTGCGCTGCAGCAATAATTGCCTCTGGCGGAATTGTATTACAGGCGTATTTGACAATTATGCAACAGGCATGTGTAGCTGAGACATCTCTCCCTCCCTCGGCATGTCACATATTTGGCTAAGGAGAGCTGCATAAGCCCAAAGGGATCACTGCAGTGCCCGTCTCGTCACCCATCAGCACTGCCCTGGTGCCTGCTGTCACCTGCGAGGTGGCTGCTGCCACCAGCTGCACAGTCTTGTTCGCCAGCACCCCCTCGCTCATGCTGGTTTAACCAACCCTCTGACTCTTCCCTAAGCCTGGCTCCACGCGATGGTCTCCCTACTGTGAAGTTGTTGTTCAGTGCTGCAGGGTATCCGTGCATGGTCAGATAAAGCTATTTTCTTAGAAATGAGAAGCTGAAACACCCGTCAGTTCGGTGATGTTGGCAGGAGGGGAGGTAACCGCTGAACCAGCAGCTGCTAAGATGGTTCCTCCAACTTTGCCTTTAATAAACTGGCTCGTGCCTTCAGCTCCAGCAAACCAAGGCGGGTTCCCAAGTAACTGGATGCTAAAAGATCCAGCTCGCTTTCCCGCAGAAACACATGCCAGCCTGTAGCTAAAATCACTGATAGAGACACGACACCACACCGTTGCAGAGCGGCCCATGATGATACAAGTAAGAACCTCCCCGAGCCGGCGCACAGAGAGGTGCTCAGCTTTCGCACATACGAGCGTTTCCTACTCGCCACGGGAAT